ATAATGTTACCGGTCAAATTTTGGATTTACTTCTTAGTTAAGAAGTTGATAGAATTTCACATATTGTCGATTTAAGAGTTCCTGCACCATATTGATACTTTTTATTAACATTGGGTTCATTATAAGCACAAAAAATTCCTATTTAATAAAATTAATCATTTATTCACATACTTGACTGATCAATTTTTTCACATGCATTTTTATTTCTAAGATAAAATTTATATGGTTAGAGTTAGCTATTTGATGGTATCTTAGTTTTATTAATATTATTTTACTCAAATGTTTTTAATATAAATCAAATTTTTGTTCATTAGAAGAGCAAGAATTCCTATTTTAAAGTTAATCACTTTCGTGTTCAATAAATTTGATTGTAATTTTTAAGAAAACTTATATTAACATTAAATAAAATTTATATCAGTAAAACCTGCTTTATTTAATGGCATGATTGTTAAAATATTTTCTTTGATTGTTTTTATTATTGTTTTTATTTCATTCAATTGATATCATAACATCTTGATCATTATATTTTTTATTACTTACCAATTATAGATTTAGAATAGTCTAATAATTTGATTTCTTTTATTGTTTTGTTGCCTTCTATAGAATTGCAATTTTTCCATACTCAAAATCTGTATGTCTGAGCTTTAGGCACTGGTTATATAAAAATCCATTTCTCAGAGTAGAAATCAAGACGAATTTGATAAAAAAGGATTTGGATTCTTGATTGTACATGTAATTGTGAATAACTCCGAAACGGACATAACGATAAACAATAACGATAAATACAATGCTAACTAACATCGGCGGCGTTTAAAGTTTGTCGATTATCGTTATGTATCGTTTATCATTACAACTATTGTCTAATTCAATAAATATGAAAGATTTCCCTTTTTATTTGATTCTTCCGACACGTGTTCAATAGGTTGCTTATTGCTCGTTTTATGACCTTTGAAATCTAGTTTCATTAAATAGTATACGATGGTTTAAACTATGAGACTGTTGTTATTAACAAAACAAAACTAATGTATTCAGCCGTAGCATAACTAATAAATTTTACCTTCATTGGCTTCGTTTTGAACATACAAACTGACGCTTCTAGGTTTGTCATCATTTACTACAGAATTTGGAGAATTCTCTGTTTGTAAAGGGCTAGAATCGTCGTTCGGGTCCGAAGTTCTTGCCGGTGACTGAATAATTAATTCAGATGCAATTGGGCTTGGCACCGTAGAATGTACAGATGTAAAGGTTGAGGATGTTTCTGAACTCGATCCAACTGATGTATCACCAGAATCATCGCTCGGGTCCAAATCTGTCACCGGCGACTGAATTATTAATTCAGATTCGACAGTATTAAATTGGCTTGAAGCAGCAAAATATGCTAAGTTAAGATGTGGAAAGTTTGAGTGTGCTTCCGGTGTGAATGATGAATTTGCAAGAAATGGATCGTATCCGTATGGGAAACTTAATGTTGATCTGGATGTATCAAATAAATCCAACCCAACTAATGTTGAGAATACCGAATCGGAATAACCTCGTTGTCTCCGTTCCAGCGTATATGGTTTATTTTTAGAATGAGTATTCAAACTCTGACTCCACGTAATCTTTAGTTCTCTATTATTAACACAAAATAAAATAAATTTTAATTGCATAATTTTAACCAAAAAAAGCTTAGACTCACACATCAGTTGATATCTACTTTTTAGATCTTTTTAATTCTTCATATAATGGAGAAAAGACACTCAAAAGTTCACTTTCATAGCATATATATATGTGAACTGAATTGTGATATAAAGTGCAGTTTATCCTTTTTAGACAATGTAGATAAAAGGCACAATTGCTCAGTACAAGGCAATTTTTTTGACGTTGCATTTGAAAAACAACTTCTAAATAAGATATAACGGTTTGTCGGTTTTTTCTCGATACGAAAAAGATTTTTATCCATGGATTTATTTGTGTAAGGGTCTAAGCTAAATTCATGTTCGCAATTATTTGAATATTTGAAAGTTATCTTTATCTTATTATCATTATTAATATTAAGATGTATAGGCACTGGCATCAAAAAATGTTTTTTATTAGATTTTTCTTCCTCATGATGCATAGGTGTAGATGAACTGACTACTTCGTTCATTTTCAGAATGCACTAAAAAATAATGAATTGAAGAAACAAAAGGAACCTTATTTATACGCACTTTTATGACAAAAAAACTAGTTTCTCAGCAAAAAAAGACTTCACTTGAATTATCAATTTCAATACAAAAAAAAGTTATTACAAATGTAAAATAAATTACAACGGAGTTTCTTTTAAAAAGTAACCAACGAACTGCTACGTACTACAGAAATCAACTTACATGTTCATGTATACCAATACGTACTGTATATCGATATAAAATTCTACATAATGATAACGTTAAGATAACGGTAAACGCGCAGAATCTTCGAAAATCGGAGTGTCTTACCGTTATCATCGTGGGACAGCACTAACAAAGAAATCAAACAATCAAAGTAGGAAACAAAGGAAACTGGTTAAGGAATCACTGAGCCAATTCTCCAAGTTATGAATAGTTCAAACGTTGATGGAAATTCTATACAACATGTATAAATAATCAAGAATGAACCTGTTCAATTTTCCGTAAAACAAGAAACAGCTACTTCATATTCGAATTATATGAATATATAAAAATTTCGAGTATGAAAGGAAATATATAAAGTGTTGCAAAGAGTATGTCTTCCGAATGCTGGATACTATTTTGTAAATAAGTGAGGAATAATCATAGACAAAATAGCAAGAATTATGATCAGAAGAAACAAAGAATATTAAGCTGGTTGTAACAATGTTCTTCTAACTCAAAATTATTGAATTTGGTACTGTGGTAGGAATTATAAATGAATTTATAATCCCAATCATTTATCAGCCTTTGTAAATAAGGAAAATTTTATAACGATGACGCTTCCGAAGATGCTAGCTTATCTAAACTCCAAATTTAGAATTTTATGTATTTTAAGTACATGTACGTACATAGCGATATTTTGATTAATGCAAGAAACTTTACCAATACGATGACGTAATGAATCTTTTTTCAGGTAAAATATACAAACTAGTTTTTTTTCATTCGGAAAATGTAATATAAAACGAAAAGTTGTTCATTTTATCCTTATTTCTTTTTTATCAAAAGATGAGTGATTTTATATCATCTTCACATCAAACAAATGCATTGACATGTACTTGTTCAACATGTCCAACTTGTTCAACTTGTTCAACTCACTCAACCAAGACGGTTGAGCAAGAAACATCTAAACTTATGATGCTGACATCTTATTCTCTCGAGTTTAT